TCTACTACATCACCATACAATTCATGTCACTCGGGTCAAATCCTTACCTTGCGTTCTAGAGCTCGGCTCTATTACATCACCACGCAAGCCCTAGAGCTCGGCTCTAGCTATACAATACATAGACTACAAGTCTACACCTTACATGCATTCTAGAGCTCGGCTCTACTACATCACCATGCATTAAGGTCCAATTCTCAAGCAACCCTATGCCTAGAATTGACATATCATTAAACTGCCATGGGTCATCCTTAAAGACTTCCCATAACTTAACCTTAGTTCCATACTAAGTTATTATATACACTTGAACTATATTCAAGCACCTTTCATACAATCCAATCCCTAGGATCAATTTAATCAACAAGTTCCAATAATCACTAACTAGTATTTCAATACTATTAAGATTATTGTTATCATACCACTATCCTCTTTATTTGTAATTCTCTACATAATTACAAATATGTAGCAGCAACTTAAGTATTCAATCTCAATACACAAATATTCATTTATGTATCCAAATACTTCATACATGAGCAAAATACCTATTTCGCAAAAACAGTTCATTTATACTCATTAAATCTCATGTTATTCATACATTCTCAAATCATTTCAATTTTCATTCTTTGGCAACTATATCAATATTTCATCAATATATGATCGTCATAATCCATGAAAAATAATGATTTAAGCATTTAGGTAATCTCATGCTTAACCTACAAGTTGTAAGCAATTAGATGTCAATCCTCACCTCAATTGAGCTTTAAACTTTCCCTTCTTGGTCCAATGGTCAAAGCTTTGGTCAAGGTGGATTTGGAACTGATTCCTTGCTCAAATATGAGTGTTAAACAGCCTCCTCAAAGTGCTAGTTCAACCCTTAATCGTTGATACGAAAACAGCCCCTAGAACGGGTGTTTCCCGGTTAACTCGTTTCCTAGTTTTTCCAAGATTTGCTCTAGGTTAGTATCTAACCTTTCCAACAATTAAAGTCACATAATAATAACATTTTTATACACTTCAATCAGTTTATAATAGTTCTTCAATCATTTATATGATTTAGACAATAGAGAGGAAGGTTTTGGATTCAAACTTACTTTGAATACAAAAACGTATTCTGCGAGGTCGTGTTTTGCTCGGTCGATTTGGAGGCCTTCCACTACTCCGATTGATGCAAACCAGACCTTCGAGGATTCCTCGTCTTGAGAGCTTTCTTTGGGTATATTATACGCCTTATTTGGATGTGTATAACTCGAGATATGAAGCAAACAGTCTCAGCACTCTCACAGCTCGAGTTCACAGACCACTGCTCGTTCCAGATCGATTTTTGGATGATAAGCTCTCTCTCCTCGAACAAAGACCACTCAATTATGAAACTACACTTCAAGAGCTATCCAAGGACACCTCATACACGTTATTTGGTTGAGGATAGCTCCTATAATGAGTGGAGACAACCAGCACACCATTTTGTGCGAAAATAGGGATGGTGGCCCAACATTTGATTCCTATCAAGTCTTGTGCAGCTCCTCCCCATGGTGGTCGGCCAAGGTAAGTTTCCTAACCCATTTTTATTTGTCTTGCAGGTACTAATATCATGTGGAGTGGTTCCCAATTGATCCCAATCATTTTGGGATCCAAATTATCTACCAATACTTCCAAAAATGGGGAAGATGGGTCCTATTGTTTTATCTTTTGTCAAAGATGTCTTTTTGTACTCATCCTAATTTATTTAGCACAAGTCAACTTCCTAAATCACATTATTGATCTCCAATATGTGTAGGCTCATCCCAATAATTTACACGATGAAAATTACAAAAGAATGCGGGTTTGAACAATACAATATTCAATCATGTACTTCGTAAAATATTAATCGTTTCTTCCATTGCTTTGAAATCGGAAATTCAATACATCACTTTTGAATTTTTAAATCGAATTTTCAAGGACGTTCGGGTGCGGTGTCACACCCAACCCCAATCCAAGACTATGGGGCCGATTGGTGATAAGAAAGAGAAAGAATGGATACCGGTTGCTAAGAAAAAGGAAGTGGCACCCACGTCACTTACACCTATCCCGAAGCCTAATGCAGATCAGACTCCCAATAAAAATCCGAAGGACGCTGGGCAATCTTCCAAGCCAAAGCCGACTGTTAATTTCCCCAAAAATGGTACCATTGGGTTTGATGAAATGGGAGGCCGACTGATTACCAATGTACATGAGCTTAAAAGAGGAGAAGTGGTGACCCGTATTGACTACGATGAAAGAAAGAGGAAAGCAGTCTATGCAATGAAGCCGGAGGTACTTCCAAAGCACCACAGAATCTCAAGGCTAGGAGAGGACCTTAGAAAAGTCGGGTTGGAGGATAGAGGCATCTCATTCACTCACGAATGCCTAAGCAAACTCCCAGGAGTAACACCGAACCCGCACACTCAATGGTATGACTTCAAACATAACGTATTTTATAATTACGTAGCCTCGTTTTTTGATGTCACAACCAGGGATAACAAGAAGTATGCCAAGGAAAAACAAAGAAGAAGAGAGGAAAGGGAAGCTAGGATAGCAAAGGCTAAAGGGAAGCATGTGGCGAACGAGGGGGAAGGCCACTCCTCCACCGAGTCCGAATCTTATGAATTTTAAAACCGTTGTGTGGAACGTGAGAGGTTTGAATAAAACCTCCAAACACTCTACTATTTCGCGTTTTATTAATTTAAATAAGGCTTGCTTTGTTTGTCTTTTAGAAACTAAAATGATTTTAGAAAATTTTAAAAAACTTGTCTCCAATAAATGGCCGGGCTGGTCATTTGAGACAAATTTTGATTATATTACGGGTGGGCGCATGGCGGTGATATGGGACCCTAACCTTTTGCATTGCACTTTGCTTGAGGTGGATCGGCAACATGTACACTCTAAGTGTATATGCCGCACCACTCACGTTACCTTTTATGCAACTTTTGTGTACCCCCTCTACACAGTTTTGGAGCGTAAGAGCCTTTGGGATCATCTTGCCACTATAGGGGATCGTATTAATGACCCCTGGTTTGTGGCGGGGGATTTTAACTGTATATGTTCCCCCACTGAAAGGGTTGGACCTAATCCCCCCACGGCTTACCTTATGCAACATTTACTTGATTTTAAGATCCGTACTAATCTTGAAGATGCCCCCTCCACCGGAGAATTCTTTACATGGAATAAGGGCACACTCTGGGCCAAACTGGACCGTGTTCTGATTAATGAAGCTTGGAACCAACTGGGTTTTCATTGCAAGGCCCATTTCGATGAAATGGAGGCTGAGTTTGACCACACAGCCACTGTGGTCTCTATACTCAATAATGCCTCTACTAGGCCGAGAGCATTTAAATTCTTCAATATGTGGACTCAACATCATGCATTTGCTAATTTAGTTTTGCAGAATTGGAATGTCACTATCAATGGTACGGCTCAATACCAAATTGTTAAGAAACTCAAGTTACTTAAACAGCCGCTTAAGAATCTTAACAAGGTTGAGTTTGGCCATATTTCTGATAAAGCTAAAGTTGCGAAGGAGGAATTCAAAAGGTTAAACAGGTTGTGGCAAGCCTCTCCTCATGATGCCGAGTTGAAAGAACAATTAAAGGTGGCTAGGGGGAAAGCTATTTTCTTAGGGGAGGCCGAATGTAGCTTCTTCCAACAAAAAGCGAAGGCAACCCACATCCTTGAATCTGATAAGGGAACAAGATATTTCCATGCTATCGTTAAGAGGAATGCGTCACGGTTACCTCCATTACGTTGGAAGATGGCACGCTTACTAACTCCGTTGACCAAGTTGGGAATGAATTTGTAAAATTCTTTATTGATTTATTTGGTACTAACATGGATAACCTTTCCATAGACCAATCGGTCTTAGGAACCGGCCCTTTGATTGAACAAAGTGTTCATGATAGCCTATTATCGCCAATAACTAATAAGGAAATTAAAGATGCCTTATTTGATATTGGAGATGATAAGGCACCAGGGCCGGATGGTTATTCATCGGCTTTCTTTAAGAAGAATTGGAATGTGGTGGGGGAGGACGTCATTAATGCTGTTAATGAGTTCTTTAACTCGGGAAGACTGCTTAAACAAATTAACCATACGGTTATTGCACTCATTCCCAAAACTAGCCACTCCCCCAAGGTCTCAGATTTTAGACCTATTTCTTGCACGAATGTTCTTTACAAAATCATCACGAAAATTATTGCGGCTAGAATGTCCCCTACCCTATCGGGGTTGATCAACCGAGCACAAGGTGCTTTTGTTGATGGCCGCCTAATGTTTGATAACATCTTCCTTGCCCAGGAACTTGTTAGAGGATACAATAGGAAACGCATTTCACCTCGTTGTATGATTATGGTGGATTTGCGCAAGGCCTATGATACCATCTCTTGGGATTTTCTAGCCGAAGTGTTAAGGTGTGACACCGCACCCGAACGTCCTTGAAAATTCGATTTAAAAATTCCAAAGTGATGTATTGAATTTCCGATTTCAAAACAATGGAAGAAACGATTAATATTTTACGAAGTATATGATTGAATATTGTATTGTTCAAACCCGCATTCGTTTGTAATTTTCATAATGTAAATTATTGGGATGAGCCTACACATATTGGAGATCAATAATGTGATTTAGGAAGTTGACTTGTTCTAAATAAATTAGGATGAGTACAAAAAGACATCTTTTGACAAAGATAAAACAATAGGACCCATTTTCCCCATTTTTGGAAGTATTGGTAGATAATTTGGATCCCAAATTAATTGGGATCAATTGGGAACCACTCCACATGATTAGAGTACCTACAAAACAAGAAAATTAAGTGAGGAGACTTACCTTGGCCGCACCAGCTGGAGGAGGGCTGCACAAGACTTGATTGGAATCAACCTTGAGACCCACCTTGTCAATTTCCGCACAAAATGGTGTGCTGTTTGTCTCCACTCATTATGGGAGTTATACTCGACCAAACAACGTGTATAAGGTGTCTTTGGATAGCTTTTGAAGTCTATTTTCATATTTTAGTGGCCACAGTTCGAGAGGAGAAGTCAATCATCCAAAAATCGATCTGGAACGAGCAGAGGTCTGTGAACTCGAGCTGTGAGAGTGCTGAGACTGTTTGGCCAATATCTCGAGTTTTACCAATCCAATTAAGGCGTGTGAGATACCAAAAGAAAGCTCTCAAGACGAGGAATCCGTGAAGGTCTGGTTTGCATCAATCGGAGTAGAGGAAGGCTTCCAAATCGTCCGAGCAGAACGAGACCTCGCAGGGACGGATTTACTCTTCTAAGTGAGTTGTTAATCCCAAAACCTTTCCATTCATTTTCCAAATGATATGAACGATTGGTGGGACTATTATACACTACTCCAAGTGTATAAAACATCCCTATTAAGTTATTTTATTGATGTAAAGGTTAGATACTAACCTAGATGCAAACATTGGAAAACTAGGAATCGAGTTAGCCGGAAAACACCCGTTCTAGGGGCTGTTTTAGTATCAACGATTCGGGGTTGAAATAGCAACTTGAGGAGGCTGTTTAGCACCCATTTTCAAGCAAGGAACTAGTTCCCAATCTTCCTTGGCCGAGGCTTTAGCCATTGGATCGAGAAGGAAGGTTTTAAAGCTCATTTGAGGTGAGGATCGACATCTAGTTGCTTACAACTTGTAGGTTAAGCATGAGATTACCTAAATGCTTAAATAATGTTTTCCATGGATTATGATGATAACCTATTGATGGAATATTGATCTATTTTCCAAAGAACGAAATAAGAAATGATTTGGTAAAGTATTGATGAAAATGGAGTTAAATGAACTATTGTGTGAAATAGGCATTTTACTCATGTGTGAATTGTGTAGATACATAAATGATTATTTATGTATTACATTGAATGATTAAGTTGCTGCTACATATCTCTAAATATGTAGGGTTTTACAAATGGAATATATGATTGATAAGAATAATCTTAATAGTATTGAAATACTAGTTAATGATTGTTGAAATTGTTGAAGAATTGAATCTAAGGATTTGATTGTAATTGATGAACTTGATTGTGATGCAAGTGACTAAATTGATGTAATGTGATGCTAAGACCATGGTTGGGCAGTCCGTAGGGATGTCCCAAGATAGATTATTGATATTACAATTCTAGGCCTAGTGAGTGCTTAGGAATTGGGGTCTATGCCAATGTAAGGAGATGTACTTGAGCCCGTGCTCATAGAATTGCATTGGGTAGACATGATGAGGTGATTGTGTGCATGGGGATGTAGTCGAGTTGGACTCGAGAATGCACGGTGGAGTAGTTAGCTTATGTTAATTAAGGTGCATGGTGATGTAGTCGAGTTGGACTCGAGAATGCAAACATATGTGTTAGGGTTGAACCCTATGTATTGTTGTGACTAGGGGTCACGGGATTTTGGAAAAATGTTTTATAACAAACATGGGCCTTTGAGCCGGCTACTTGACTTTATATAAAGTAAGTATATATTTTGAAAGGGGTAATTTGAGATTACGGCCTATACTATATTATCACCCTATTTGAGGGTCTTGTGTGTGAAATACTTGTTGTATATCTATTAGATGCCTGCCACACCAGCACTTTATAGCCCTATAGAGTGCTGACCCCTTCGGGGGCGTCCCACCACCATTTTTCAGGTTGAGGCTAGAGCTTGCTTCCTGTGCTCGTTGCTCGAGAGATCATATAGGAGGGAAGACTTGGTTCGTGCTTCCTCCATTCTGTTTTTTAACAATAATAAACATGCTCATGGATATTTTACTATAGAGCCTGCGTGCTCATGAATAGCCATGTGTGGCCCTTTTGTTTTAAACAAAGTTTTCCGCTGCGTTATGAATTACTTATTATGTTTGTTTATGGATGTACATGTGTGAATGATATTCAAGACGCCTTGTATAATATGAATGTGTTGGACTGCGGTTGACTATTCGTATTGTACGGCGGGTTGTTGACGTGTCCGGATAGGTCCGGGGCGTGACAATTAAGTTGGTATCAGAGCCTTAGTCCATAAACTTCATAATGAAGTCTCAAAATTCTCTTTTTGAAAAAGATTTTGAAAACCATGAGCATAGGAGTTTTGTACTTGGAGAGCTTTTGGTACTTGGGTTGCAAGGTCTCTAATTGTTAAGATGGTACCCTTAGCAATTGGCATGGCGGTGACTCGAGCCAAAACGTGTCTTAAGTACCTATCCGTCAATTGACATTTGATACGAGTCTAATGACTCTTTCCAAATTTCTTTCAGAAATGGACGGTGGTGGCAGGATTACTAGGAGAAACCCGACGGGCCGTGTACCAGTGGAGACTGGACAGGGCAGTCGAAGGACCTCTAGGGCGTCTAGGGGAGCTGGCCGTGGAGGCCGATCACAGACCGTGAGTGACGGTCATGTTGACACAGAAAGTGAAACCTACTGGTCCTATGAGGACTCAACTTACCAACCGGAGACCGAGCCGGTTGAGACCCCTTACGAAGGGGATGACGATGATATAAGTGATGAAGAAGGGGAGAATGACTCCCTAGCCAGAATCGAGGCGCTGCTCCAACAATATCAGCGGGAGCGCGAAGAAAGGAGGGAACGCCGAAGGCGCCGGGGAGGGCGAACTTTGGGTGGGGCTTCAAGAGGAAGAAGCCAAGGCGACTCTAGGGCCCACATTGAACCACATGGGGGCCGGGGTGATGGAGGTCCGATCATAAGGATCTCAAAATTTCTCAAAGAGGCGAGAGACTTGGGGTGCAAACCCTTCAACGGAGCAGGTGACATCTCGGTTGCCGCGGAATGGATCAAGAGGCTGAACGAAGCAGCCCTTGATATGCAACTCACCCCCGAGTTTAAGCTAAGGGTGGCGGTGAGGTTGCTTGAAGGGATGGCATCCACATGGTGGGACGGAGCCAAGGGAAAGTATGGCAACACGGTGACTTGGGAGAATTTCCGACAGGAGTTCTTTGCCCAATATTATTCTGATTTTGAGGTGAACGCCAAGAGGAGAGAGTATACCCTCCTGACCCAAGGGGGCAAAATGACGGTGAGGCAACTTGAACACAAATTCAGGGAGCTCGCGGAGTTCATACCGGAGTATGTGTGTGACGAGAACCGGATGGTAAATCACTTCTGGGATGCCTTAGACCTGGAGGTGCGTGAGAGGGCAACACAGTTGCCTAACATGACTTTTAGCCAAGTGGTCGAGCAAGGGTTAAAAGGAGAGAAAGAATGGGAGGAAAGAAAGTTGAAGAACGCCGAAGAGGCAAAGAAGAGGAAGTGGGAGAACCATGGGCATCAAGGTCCTAGCAAAAAGGGGAACCATGGGGGAGGGGGATCTTTTCGGACACCCCCACTGCCACCTAGGGGAAGTCATGGCCCGGGCGGGCAATCACAAGCCTCGGGGGTGACTCGTTGCAAGAATTGCAAGAGGAACCACCCGGGGAAATGTCGTGACCCTCCTAGATGCTACCAATGCGGGAGCACCGGTCACATGAAGATGAGCTGCCCACAACTGGGCGGGACGAGGGCATCAGGGCCAAGTAGTGGTAATACCGGGACACGGAATCAAGCCGGGACTTCACAAGCGTCCAGGGGGCAAGGGGGAGCAAGCGCAAGCAACGCGCCGTCCGTGAATCAAGGAAGGACTCAAGCTAGGGTCTACGCGATGACGGAGGCGGATGCTCAAGCTAACCCGGATTCCGTTGCAGGTATTGCCTCTCGTATACTAGTGTTTTATCCTTAATTAGTCCATAAATTGAAGTTATAAATCCTAGAATCCAGGTGGGAGCAGACGTAAGATTGAAATGGGAAAGGAGAGCAAAACCATGCTACTACCCGATCGGGTAGGGCAATAAACCCTACCGGGTGGGACGAGTTTTTGCCCTCGTAAACCTTCTGGATCGCATACCCGATCGGGTTTGGTAATGAACCCGACCGGGTAGGACAAGTTTTTGCACTCATAAGTCCACTGGAACACATACCCGACCGGGTATGGTGGTATACCCGACCGGGTTTGTCAAAAATTTCTGCCCGACACCTTCTGGAACACATACCCGACCGGGTATGGTGGTATACCCGACCGGGTTTGTCAAAAATATCTTCCAGACACTTTCTGGAACACATACCCGACCGGGTATGGTGGTAAACCCGACCGGGTTTGTCAAAAAAATTCTGCCCGAACCCACTGGAACTTATACCCGATCGGGTATAGTATGTTACCCGACCGGGTACACCTCGAAGTGTTCGTCAAATGAAAAAGTTGTCTTCATGAAAGTTGTAGATATTTTCATTGTCTAAATGATGGAATTTGAATCGAACGATTTGGTTAAGTATGTGAAGAGTTATGATCAAAACGGTGAGACAGTGTCAATCTATATCTCAACTGCGAACGTCAACCATAATTGGGGGATTTTGCCCACTTTAAGGACATGATTTCGCATTATGTTCTTCGTAGGATTGGTCGGTATGTTAGAGAGGTATCTTACATGGTTTATAAATGTAGGAACACTAAAGATTAATGGGAGATGTGCGAGAATCCTCATCGATACCGGGGCGCAACGATCATTTGTGAGTGAGGCATTCGCCGGGGGATTCAACGCACCCCTGGTACCGATGGCTCAAGCCCTATTGGTATCCACACCCCTAGGGGAAGACATCGAGAGAGATAGCCACTATCCATCGTGTGAGGTGGAAGTGGAGGGCCAAAACTTGTCGTGTGATTTCGTGCCGCTGAGTATGATTGAGTTCGATGCAATCCTGGGGATGGATTGGCTTGAGAAGCATCATGCTAGGGTCGATTGTTACACGAAAGTACTTGAACTCGAAGGCAATGAAGGGGTAACCTTACGCTTCGAGGGGGATAGGGCAAAATCCAATAGTTGTATCATATCCGCCGTGAGGGCTAAGAATATGATGAGGAAGGGGTGTCACGCATATCTAGCGTATGTGGTGGACAAAACCAAAGAAGATACGAGCATTGATGATGTTAGGGTAGTATGCAAGTATCGGGACGTCTTTCCTAAAGACTTACCGGGACTTCCACCCGATAGGGAGATTGAGTTCGTGATCGAGGTCGAGCCCGGCACCAAACCAATCTCCATACCGCCATACCGTATGGCACCCGCTGAACTTAACGAGTTGAAAACCCAATTGCAAGAGCTTTTGGATAACGGTTTCATTAGACCAAGCCACTCCCCGTGGGGAGCACCAGTTCTTTTTGTGAAAAAGAAAGATGGGACACTTCGAATGTGTATTGACTATCGTCAACTGAACAAGGTCACAATCAAGAATAGGTATCCTTTGCCTAGAATTGATGACTTGTTTGACCAACTACGAGGGGCAACCGTGTTTTCAAAGATCGATTTGAGGTCGGGTTACCATCAATTGAAGATTAAGGAAGACGACATACCAAAGAGTGCTTTCCGCACAAGGTATGGACATTTTGAGTTCCTTGTTATGTCGTTTGGATTGACAAACGCCCCAGCGGCATTCATGGACTTGATGAACCGAGTATTCCATAAATACTTGGATCGATTCGTGATTGTGTTCATAGACGACATTTTGATTTACTCAAAGAGTGAGGAAGAGCATGAAGAGCACTTGATACTCGTTCTTGAGACACTACGGGAGAAGCAACTTTATGCCAAATTTTCTAAATGTGAATTTTGGCTAAAGGAAATTGGCTTTCTCGGGCATGTGGTTTCGGGATCGGGAATTGCTGTTGATAATAAGAAGATAGAGGCCATTACCGAATGGGAGAGACCAAGGAATGTCAAGGAGATTCGTAGTTTCCTTGGATTGGCAGGCTATTACAGAAAGTTCGTGGAAAAGTTCTCTGTTTTGGCGTCGCCGTTGACGAAGCTCACTCGAAAGGGAGCTAAGTTTATATGGGATGACAAATGTGAGAAAGGATTCATCGAACTAAAGAAGAGATTGACCGAGGCACCGGTACTTGCATTACCCAAACAGGGTGTGGGGTACGATGTCTATAGTGACGCGAGCATCCAAGGGTTTGGGTGTGTGTTGATGCAGGAAGGGAGGGTAATTGCCTATGCTTCACGACAGTTGAAGAAGCATGAGGTAAATTATCCTACCCATGATTTGGAGCTGGGAGCAGTGGTGTTTGCACTGAAGATTTGGAGACATTATCTCTACGGGGAGACATGTCACATATACACTGATCACAAGAGCTTGAAGTACGTGTTTACTCAGAAAGAGCTAAACATGAGACAGAGACGGTGGATGGAGCTGATAAAAGACTACCATCTAGTGATAGAGTACCACCCAGGCAAGGCAAATGTGGTGGCAGATGCTTTGAGCCGGAAGAGCTCGTCTGGGGCATTGCTAGCTAATTTGAGGGCATTAAGAGCCCAACTGGAGGTATCCAGCGATGGTGCCTTATTGGCACGATTTGAGGTGAGACCTACTTTACTTGATGAGATCAAGAAGGGTCAGGAAACCGACGAAGAAATTATGAAGATCCGGGAACGCATGCAAGCGGGACCGGTGGAGGACTTCAGAGAAAGAGATGACGGTCTCTTATTATTTCGTGACCGAGTGTGTGTACCGGCAGATGAGGAGCTCCGAAAGTCCATCTTAGAGGAGGCTCATTCATCGGCGTATGCCATGCACCCGGGGGGCACGAAAATGTACCGTGACTTGAAAGAAAGTTACTGGTGGTCTGGGATGAAGAGGGAAATAGCCGAATACACTAGTCGATGCCTTACTTGTCAACAAGTTAAGGCGGAACATCAGCATCCAGCAGGCTTATTGCAGCCACTTTCCATTCCTGAATGGAAGTGGGAACACGTGACTATGGATTTCGTGGTAGGTTTACCACGGACAATCAGGAACTATGATGCAGTTTGGGTCGTTGTGGATAGGCTCACAAAGAGTGCACACTTCTTGCCTATCAACACTACCTACCCACTTGAGAGGTTAGCCAAATTGTATACGGATGAGATCGTGAGGCTGCATGGGGTCCCAGTGACCATTGTATCCGATAGAGACCCACGATTCACATCACGTTTTTGGCCGAAATTTCAGGAGTCTATGGGAACGAGGTTGAAGTTCAGTACTGCTTTCCACCCACAGACGGATGGACAGTCTGAAAGAGTCATACAGATCTTGGAAGACATGTTGAGGGCTTGTGCATTGGAGTTCCAAGGAAGTTGGGACAACCACTTAGCACTTGTGGAGTTTGCCTATAACAACAGTTATCAGGCAAGCATCGGCATGCCTCCATACGAGGCATTGTATGGGAGAAGGTGTCGTACACCGTTATGCTGGGACGAGGTTGGCATGGCCAAACTCGAGGGTACTGAGTTGGTTGAGGTCACCAAATCAAAGGTGAAGTTGATTCGAGAGAGACTCAAGGCGGCTCAGGATAGACAAAAGAGTTATGCAGATAAGCGTCGAAGAACCTTAGAGTTTAAGGTTGATGACGAGGTATTCTTGAAAGTTTCTCCTTGGAAAGGGATCATTCGGTTCCAAACCCGAGGAAAACTTAACCCACGATATATAGGTCCATTCAGAATTATAGAGAGGATTGGGGCCGTTGCATATTGTCTACAGTTGACTCCTGAGTTAGAGAAGATACATAATGTGTTTCATGTATCCATGCTTAAGAAGTATGTGCACGATCCCTCTCACGTATTGGAGAAGCCACCTGTAGAGGTACGTGAGGATTTGAACTACGCTGTTCAACCTATCAAGGTCACCGATAGAAAGGTGAAGAAGCTGAGGAGCAAAGAAGTCCCAATGGTTAAAGTCCTGTGGAAGAGCGATCGGGTCGAGGAAGAGACATGGGAAACAGAGGCTTTGATGAGGAAGCAGTATGCTTTCTTATTCGAGTAGAGCTGTGAATTTCGGGGACGAAATTCCTGTTAAGGGGGGGTGAACTTGTGAC